CGTCTACATCACTGAATAGGTTTTTGTTCTCAATTTGCTCAAAGAGACTCTTAAAAAATCCACTGAAGACCCAGGCGGCAGAGAAACGTAAAACTGCGCGGTCTCCAACGTGTTAAATCATCATCTTGATGACGAAATAATTAGACGATCAACTCCAACTCGAAAGTGAGGTCGCCTCCTTTCTCGACCCGCACTCCGCTGGGTTTTGGCAAAGGAGCATCAAGAAATTTTCTGAGCGTTGAAGACAAGTGGTGGACACTCATGGTAGATATAAGACCGGTCAGGAGTTGTAAACAAAAAAGATAAAATTAAAATCAAAAATTTGAAAAAGTGTTGCAGGACTTTCTTGCCAACCTAATAGATATAGAAACAGCCACCATAAATCCAGCCCCTCAAGGTGAACAGAATACATTTCAGAACACTACATAGGTCTATTTCACAGCTTAACCCCGCATTCCTGCGTATTGAGCATCTCTCAGTGGCCACTTGCCTAGCCTTTCAGCCGCAAATATTGACTCCTATTCGAAAACGTTTATTAGCAAACAGAACCGATAACAGATAAAAGCATAGCTTCGTCAAAACCATCGCCAACTGAAAATTAGGAATGACAAATCTCAATTTCAGGCAAAGATAGGAGGAAAGAAATGAACTTATTAAGAAAATGGCTACACAGATTAGATGAACACTACCTGTTGTCGGTCTAGATTCTAATGCCACCGGTTCATTATACAGATTACGTTTGGGTGGCTTCTAAGAAGAATTAGCGGAAAGCATTGCAGATCAAAAACAATGGAAACACATTGTTATTGTATAGGATTAAGAAACAGCTTCGCACAGTTTTGTAACACTATAAAAAAAGAAAACTCCCAACAAAAAAGACACGCGCCAGTTTTGCCCTGGTGATACGCTTACGTCTTCACCGTAATTCCACAGGTATCCAACACACGTCCCATCACTGTAGTACGCATGCCAAACCTAAAACAGTTCACTTTAAATTACAGAACCATAAAATCGTAGAAGTTCTTCGAATCCCTTCGGAACAGATGAGCTTGAGCGAAAAGTCAGGCATATTTTATTGCACGGTCATCAAACTCTGAAAGTCTGCCCGATCTTGCTCAGCATCCACTTCTACTGAGTTAACTGCTACGCCGATAAAACAAAAACAATGAGATGTCATTACGGAACGTTTCCTCGGTTTCACAGCTAACAGTGATCAATAAAAACTCCTAAACTACTGCCTATTATCCAATCACCTAAACTCCCACCAATGTGAATGAGATCTGCAAAAAAGGGCGACCGACAGGGAAATCCCAATACGATTTGCAATAATTATTGATTAGTACCAGATATGTTCCAATGTAAAGAGTAGCTAACTACGGGTGTGGTTTACTAAGACAGAAAGCGACTTTTTCGCGTTTCGCAGCGCGAAACATTTTTCGCGCTGCGGGAACCTCGGGTCCACTGATGATCAGCGGTGGACCTGAGGTTCCCGCAGCGAAAATGTTTCGCGCTGCGAAACGCGAAAAAGTCGCTTTCTGTCCTAGTGAACCACACCCGTAGTTAGCTACTCTTTACATTGGAACATATCTGGTACTAATCAATAATTATTGCAAATCGTATTGGGATTTCCCTGTCGGTCGCCCTTTTTTGCAGATCTCATTCACATTGGTGGGAGTTTAGGTGATTGGATAATAGGCAGTAGTTTAGGAGTTTTTATTGATCACTGTTAGCTGTGAAACCGAGGAAACGTTCCGTAATGACATCTCATTGTTTTTGTTTTATCGGCG